AGGGGAAATCATAACCTTAGATCCTTCTCTTAATTGTTTACAACTTAATCATAGTTAGTCTTTATTTACTTAATTGCAGTCAATTATAGTTAGTAAAAATATCCTCAATTGTTATTCAAAACGTTTGGGAAGTTGATTACGTAGAATTTAGTGAGTCTAACAAGAGTAATTGATAGGTTAATTCCTTGTGGGTTCGACTCTGGGCTCAATACTCAGATTATATTTGCAACGTCCGCTTAGTCCTTTTTATAAGGCATAGTTGGGCGTGATCACAATTTAGCTCAAATAATCCATTTCAATATATATTAAATAGTACTCCTAGCGAAGAATAATCAATTGAATATCTTGTATGGGATAAAATGGGTTAGCGACAATTGGACAAATAACGAAATGGATGTGGCACTAAAGACAAGTAAGATATGAGTCAGCAAGTAAATTGTGCTATTCAAATTTCGCGACGTGTCATAAGACCTCTACCTCCGCATGGTTCTAGTTTAGATTTTAACCTTTTTATTATATTGTATAGTTAGTTTTTTTTTTGCCAGTAATACAAACGAGGGTAATATATACTATGATGGTAATACATACTACGAAGGAGATGATGAATAGAGTAGTGGAAGCTCAGTCAATTACGAGGAGTTTGTTATGCGTATGCTTGCCAAGTGATGGTGTTTTGGATTCTCTTAGCTACTGTGTATTTTCTGATGAATAAATATTTAGCTGGCAATTTATGTTCTGTTCTATTGTTAAGACAAACAACAGAGTATGCTCTGAGCTGACAGTACCAAATGAATAAGCAAGAAAAAAACTGAGGATTGCCTAGCAAAGTGCCAACGGCTTCATTCCTTTTAGCCGAGGATGGTCAAAAGCTAGTTGAATATGAGATAATACACAATCCCCATTTGAAATCTGCATCAAATAAAACCCAAAAAAAACCTAGTAATTAACACTATGTATAATTATTCTAACATTATATATACTTGTGAATTCTAACATTGAAGTCATACTTTTTTTGCAATTTTTTTTTACAAATTTACCGATCAAAAATCAGGGGCAGATGCACGTGGAATGAAACGGTGTCACGCGACATCGCTTCGTCCTAAATTTTTACGAAACATATGTATTAATATTGTGCGAAAACGAAACGAGAAAAAAATGACACCAATTGACACATTGTTGCTTGGCATGCTGGTTAAATTCTTGAATTTGCTCTTGGAGGTCGGAGGTTCGTACCTCTAAGGCTACTCCTTGTTTAGAAATGTGACAAATAATGTTAGTTATTCGCCATTTTTTAATAAATATCGACACGGCTTACAGCAACACATGTTCACCTTCACTTCAGAAAAAAAGAAAACATTGCAGTACCTTGTTTGAACGAGGAAGTTGTGAGCACTGCAGAGCAAAGTAAGGAGAAATCTCTTGGCCCTTACGTGACTGGTATTTGAGATGGTCACTTATATATATAATCATCATCATTTTTTATTAGTTAGATTTGACACCTCATCGTCTTGATGCATCTGCAAATATTTTCGAGGAAATCAATATTTGTAGCCTCTTTAATACTAACTGGAAAATTTGAGTTGTAAGGAGACTTCATATTGAATTCTCAAACAATCACACGTTAATCAGGATCATCGATTCTATTCTTAGAGAAGAAATCCTTATTCCCATAATAAAGTGCTAACTTTTAGGGAAAGAAATCGGTTATAAGTAGTTTTTTTCTTAATAAAAACTTTCCTTTACTAAATATAACGAATAGACATCCACAAACTAATATTACAGAATCACAATTTCATCTGGTTATTTTTCGCTCTAAATGCATGTTATCAATATCTAAGTTTGTCATCATCAAAAAGGGGGAAATTGATGGATTTTCAATGTCTTTGCCTTATGTTTTGATGATCTAACAAACTTACTGTCAAGAACTAGATAGGGAACCTGACACACTTGGTACACATTACAAATGAACGGATTCCGGCCAGGACTCCAGCTAATGTGAACTGCTGCAAGTGTAGAAAATAGAGAAACAAGACAAGGACCTGATCCCTTGTGTTTTCCTGACATCAATATGAAAGTCAACTGTGCACAGCTGGAAAGCGACTGCCACAGAAACAGTACACACAGTGCAGCAGTTTTGCAGTCACTTACGTTTGACCTACCAAATGCTTACATCACTCAAGTGATGTCATCAAGAGTGTATCAACTAGAGCATTATAACAAAACATCACTTGAACACTTGAGAATTCATTTCAAGCATTCAAGTCTTCTGAAAACAGTGAACTTATCTCTCAAGAGCTTGAAGAACAAAGTTAAACGCTACTATGGACCACTTCCTAAATCGAGTATTTTGTTGTCCTTAGTTGAGTTGTAACTTTGTGATTGTTCTTATTGTAATTCCTAAATTTCTTAGCTAGAAGCGTTGCTTAGGAACCCCTTTTTTAAACCATAAACTTTCTGAGTTTGTGTTGTGACTAGAGTTAGTCATAAGTTAAAGTCTTTGTAACTAGTGAGTGACAAAGTGGCTTGTGGTAAGTGTATCACAAGTTAGTTGAGTTGAAGTCTTTGTAATAGAGTCATTACAAAGTGGCTTGTAATAATGTGTTTACAAGTCAGTGAAGTTGAAAGCCTACAAGTGTAGGTCGTGGTTTTTGTCCCCTTGAGTGGGATTTTTCCACGTAAAAAATCCCGTGTTTCAGTTACTTACTGTTTCATTAGTATTCTCAGTGAAAACTCATAGAGGACCTGGTATTCTATAGTTTGGTGGACTCATATAAACTAACAAAATGGTTTTGAGTAACAGGAACTTCAGAAGTTCCCCCTGACTTTATGCTTCCCCCTTAATCAGAACCCTGTTTCAATTATACTTCCCCCTTTTGGCATCATTAAAAATACACAAGCAGGCAAACAGCATAAAGAAGTCTAGCCTAGCTAACTAATACTACATATGTGCACACAACATGATAGAGAAGAGAAACAGAGAATACAAGCATTGAGTTAACAAAAGAGGATAGATTTTATAGATAAAACATATGCCTGTGCTTAAAAAGCAAAGGCAGAATTGGACTGTTGAAACCGGGAGCAGTACTGATACATCCCAACCACATCAAAACAAAAGAAAACAAACACAACTACCAAGTCATTAAAACAACAAGAGACAATCCAGAAACTGGTCACTGAAAGGGTTACTTAGGGGGCACTAGGAGTAGAGGGCTTGGAAGCTGCAGCAAGAGTTTGGAGAACTAGGTCTATTCGGGCATTGGCCGACTTTTGCTCATTGAGCAGTTCTGCTTTGAGGTTCTCCACTTGTGCCCTGAGATCAGCATTCTCTTTTGTCAGATGAGTCACTTCCTTATTTGACTCCGGAGCCCCTTGGGCCTGCTGACCTTCCAGGATAGCATTCCTAGCCTTCAACCTTCGAATCTCCTCAGTTGCACTATTTTGAGCATTAATGAGCTGTGAGATGGTTGATGTACTGCCTAAGCCCCCATTCTTCTCTATGCACTCATATTCTTCCAACGTTGTTTGTGAGAAGGTCTGCTTCTTGGTTCCTACCTTGCCTTGCCCCAGCAGCACCTTGAAAAACTTAAACACTTGTGTAAGCAAAAACCCATATGGAAGACCATGATTACCATCCTTAAAGGTTGCCACTTTTTGCATGTGTTCAATCATGATAGCAGGCAAGTTGACAGGGGTAAAGCCATCCAGTTTTTCCATTAAAAACATGTCAGACTTAGAAGTCATGGACCTGCTCTCAGCACGAGGCAACAGAACTTTGTTCACCAACTCGAAAAGCAACTGATAAACAGGGAGTAATGCCTTCTTGTGAATCTAGTCCCCCTTTTGGTTCACGTTATCCTTTACCACAGCATTCCAGAAATTATACTGACACGCATCTTTCACACTAGACACACCAACCGTAGGGACCTTTAGAATATCTCCAAGCAGACTCACGTCAAACACAATGTCCATCTCATTCACCAAGGCACAGATATGGTCAGTATCAACGGGAAAGAGGCTTGCATAAAAGCTTTGAATCTCATCCTCATACACTTTGGGTGCATCCATTTGGAACAGATGCCCCCATCTTTGAAACTCAACCATTGCAAGAACTTGACGTATACCAGCCATATCAGAGATTGTTGGGTCAAAAGTGCGGCCCAGCAGGACCTTTTGGTGCCTTATGCATTCTAAAGCAGAACTAGTTTCACTCCTCATCTTTTTCACAGAACCAGGTTCCTTAACGGTTCCAGATTTTCGTTTGCCAGACTTCACACCACTTGATTTTCCTTTTCCCTTAGACTTGACTAACACATCCTCATCAGAAACGGAGAGCTCACTCACAACATCCTTCAACTTTGAACTGGGGGTTGTAACATTCTCTGTGGAAGCAGATTCCTTCTTCTTCTGGGACCTTCTCACTAGGGAACTAGGTTCCTCAGTTGTTTCCTCCTCAACCTCCACCACTGGAACAACTTTATCACACACTATCACATTGTCTTTCACCAATCTCCTCATTTTCTTCTTACTGCTTTTTTTGCTCTTTTGAAGGGTAGAGTCATAGGCTACCTTTGCTTCCAACCTAGTAGTAGGCCGCTTTGTAGAAGACTCAAGAGTGGACACTACCCTTCGCTTGACTATGAAAGTGTCAAGAGAAATGTTCTCTAGATCCTCCCCATCACTAGACCTCATCTCAGGGACTTGAATGTCCAGGGGCGCAACAGCAAATGCAGGAGAAGAACTGGCCTGGGAGTGAGAACCCTGACCTGTCTCCTCTGGAGAGGGGTCAGGTTCCTCACGAGAGGGCCCAGTAGTTTCTGCTAGTGCAGAGCCCTCAACAGCCACCATGGCTCCTTCTTCCCCCATACCCTGTATCTCGTTCCTTTAAGAAATGATCTCATGTAAGACGCCATCAGCAGATACCACAAAGATGGTCGCGACATTTTCTTCCTCAATAGGCTCTATGGNCTCCAAGTTGCTGCTCCTTTAGCCCCCCCCCCCCCTCATTCTATCTTGAAGATCAACCTTTCTTCCCCCACTCTGAGCATGAGTTGCCTTTCCTGAATATCCAGAATTGCTCTGATCGTATCCAAGAAGGATCTTCCTAAAATCAGAGGGACCTCCCTATTCTCCTCCATGTTCACCACAATGAAATCCACAGGGAACACAAACTTGTCCACCCGAACTAGCACATCTTCCACTATACCTTCAGGTATGATTGTGGTCTGATCCGCTAGCTGCAAGGACATAGGTATCGACCTGATTTCTCCAATATCTCCCTCTAATTTTCTGAAAATAGACAAAGACATAAGATTAATAGAAGCACCTGAATCTCACAAAGATTTTTTAAATTTAGTACTTCCTAAAGAGCACGGTAGAGTAAAACTCCCTGGATCTCCACACTTTTGAGAGAGCTTGTTTTGCAGAATGGCACTGCAATGCTCTGTGAGCTTGACAACATATGTTTCTTCCACTTTCCTATTTTTGGACAATATCTCTCTAAGTTTTTTAGCATAAGCCGGCATCTGTGGTAGCACCTCTATGAAAGGTATATTCACATGCACCTGCTTGAGCACTTCTAAAAAATGCCCGAACTGTTTGTCCAGCTTCTCTCTTCTCTGCTTCTGCGGGAAAGGTAGAGTTGGCATATATTTACTCTCTTCGATCTCATCATTACATCTTTGTTTGTCTTTCTTCTTTCTCGTTGTAACTTCAGATTTGTTTTTCTTCTTCAGATCATCCTCTTGCTCTGCCCTCACTTCATTCCTAACTTGATTTCCCATCAACACATTCTTCTCTGCTACAACGGATCTTGCAATACTTTGCCATTCCTCAAAGACACTGTATTTATTATTTCCTTTGGATTCCTTTCGGCGTTCGTAGGGAGAGTTACTGAAACCCTCTCAGACAATAGATTATCTAGTTTCCCCACTTGTCTTTTCAAGTTTCGAAATCCTGTGCCCAGTTCTCTGATAGCTGCGCCATGGGTATCAAGTCTCTCACATGTCTTAATAATAAAGGTCATCATCAAATCTTCCATGCTAGACTGATTAGACTGTGAAGGATGATATTGTTGCCTCTGCTGATTTTGAAAACTTGGAGCTCCCTGTCCCTGGGGTCTGGAGTTATTTGCTTCCATGCATTTGCACTACCACCTGGTGAACTCCAAGAAAAACCTTGGTGCCTCTGCGCCATGGAGTTAAAATTGTTTCCACTTTGGTAGGTGCCTCTGTCGACGCTCCCCACAACATTTACTACATTAGCCGAAGCTTGACACTCATGTGTAAAGTGTCCCATTACATAAAATTCACATGCTGCTTGCGACTTACTCTATACCTTGTTCAATGTTAACTTTCTTATCTCTCTGGCTATGGTGTCCAGCTGGGCTTACACTGATGTATTAGAGTCTACCTGGTGCACTCTAGTTGATTTTCTTCTATGGTTATCATTTGCATGCCATTGATTTACATCTTCATATAATTCATTTAGAATTGCAACAATCTCCTCGAGAGTTTTCTTCATAAGAGGACCTCCGACTGTGTTGTTTAGCGTCCCCCTGCCAGAAGGTGTCATACCATCCCATAAATCTTGGAGTTGTATCCACAAGTTTACTCCATGATGCTGACATCTTCTCACAATCTCCTTAAATCTTTCCCATGCTTCAAACACCGTTTCTGTCTCTTTTTGCTCAAAGTTGTGGATCTCTCTTTGAATTTTCCCTGTTTTTGCAGCTGAAAAATATTTTTCAAGGAACTTCCTTGTCATGTATTCCCAAGTTTGAATTGACCTAGTCGGCAAACTCCGCAACCAGTGCTTAGCATCTTCCCTCAGTGAAAAAAGGAATATCCTTAAGTAGATAGCATCTTTCGATACTCAGTTATGCTAGAAGGTATTCATAATCTCATCAAAATCCATCAAATGAGTATTTGGATCTTCATTGGGTTGGCCACGGAAGACACAATTATTCTGAATGGTCTGAAGTATCCCTTGCTTGATCTCAAAATTATTTGCGTTCTGAGGGGGTCGCACACTAGATGCTCCTTGGTTGTAGACTGGCCTGGCATAGTCTCCTAGTGATCATCCAGGCCTGGGCATGTTATTTTTAAATTCATCTTCAACCATAGGTCAGTTTAGGTTGAATCTTCTTTCTCTATTCCCCTCAACTATTTCATCAGCTCTAAGAGTTGCTTCAGCACTTGCCTGTGCGGCTGCTTCCCATGCATCCAAATCAACTATCTCCTCACCGTTCTTAGCCATGTTCTCTTGGGTTGATGATTGCCCCAAGAATTTTTCGGTATCATCTTTCTCTTTCCTTAACTGTGCAGACGCTTTTCCACCTCTGGATTGTATGGAATCACTTCCTTAGAAGAAGATCGAGTCATACACCAAAGAGCTTAACCTGTTGCCTGCACATGGAAGACAAAAACCGTGAAGAATAAAATAAAATTAGTTCCTGAATTAGCACAAAAAACTAACCCGGACACTATTGATTGCCAATCCCTGACAACGACGCCAAAATTTGACAAGTGCAAAACACAATACAAAATTAATGCTCGCTAGCCGAAGATAGTATAGTTATGATTATTGTCTCCACTTGGATTGGATTTCAATAGTGTTCAAGTAATTCCTTGCTTAACGCTATTGAGGATGATTAACACTTTGGTTGGGATGATTAATAACTAAAGTTAACTATGAAACTAAAATAATTAACAATTAATCACAAAAAGACAAGAGTTGAGCAACACCGAAATATCAATGTGGAGAAATAAAGGTCATGACATGATAGGTGCAAGATAGCTATTTGGGATCTAACTCTAGTTCAATTCACTCTAAAGTTCTAATGATTCTTATGAATTCACTCGATGATTAGGTCAAACGCATAGTTAAGACTCCTCTCTCTATTAAATCTTAACTCTACGAGGTAAACTAATATAAGCACTGTAAAAATATGCAAGCATGCGTTAATGAATTAGTCTTTAGAAAAACGTCTCTCGAATATTCTCCTAACTTGATTTAACCAACAATTCAACAAGCTCTTTCGATTACTTAAGAGAATCACTGAATTAATCCAAACAAAATAATGCAAAGACAGTCACCAAAATATTTCTCTTTCGATTAAATATACTGGTGAATAAAGTGGCAAACAATTTAAAGCTCCATAAACGAATTCATGCAAAATAACTAGAGTTAAAATCCACAAATATCCATCAAAATACCATATCTATCAAACCCTAAAGTAAACTACTCCATAATCATGGAGAAAGTCATCACAAATAGAGATAAAGAATAAGAAAACATCAATACAATCCAAACTCGGGTGTTGAGTTGAGGAAAGAATGATGAATCCTTGTGCCTTAGAGTCTCCAATGTCCTCCAGTCTTCCGTAGGTCAAAAGTCCTCTAAAATTCGTGTTTTTGATGTATTTATACCATGTAGGAACGGGTCCAGACAAAACTATCCTTTCCAAGGTGAAGTGGAAAAAGTTGGGCGAGAAAATACACTACCGCGGCGCATGGCGCGGCGCCCCACGCGGTGCGTTAGTGGGAAAGTTCAGAGACCTATTTTTTTCACTCTGCAGGAATTTGACACTAGCGCCCCGCGCCCCGCTACTCATGGCGAGACGGGGTAATGCCATTTTCTGAGAGTAATTTTGTTTTCTCACTTTTTGACATCCAGACTTGGTTCTCGACTCCCGAATGTGATCCCGACTTAATTTCTTGGGCTTTTACGGAGACTTCAAAGCTCCAACTTGTTTAAATTGGCTCCAAATTATATTAATAGCTTGGAACCATTTCCTACAAGGCATAAAAAATTTAATAAGCGCAAATCACCATTAATTAAGTTCAACCACATGTAAAATGTAGTGATTAGAGTGCGAACTATGAACAAAACATGGGTTCCTAGCCTACCATTAGGAGGCTCCATCGGTAAACAAGGTCCAAACTCCCGATGTCATTCCCACACCAACACTACTTCCTTAACAGCCAAAGGCATTAACCCCGGACTGAAGTTGTCCAAAGATTGTGACTTGATTGCAATCCTGGGTTTGTACTAAATGCCGAATTCACTAAATTCGACTTCCCATTTAGCCAAACGGTTTGATAACTCGGGCTTATGAATGACATTCCTTAATGGAAATGTTGTCACAACGGCTATTGGGTTACATGCTTTCGAGAAGCAACTACGAGGGCTAAGGCCAACTTTTCTAAGTGCGGATATCGTGTATCCACTCCTTATAATATTTTACTAACGTAATAAATAGATAATTGCGTATTTTCATCTTCTCGGACTAGAACGGTACTTACCGCAATTTTCGAGACCACTAAATAAATTAGCAATTGTTCACCTTCCCTTGGTTTCGACAATAATTGAGGGTTGTACAGGTACCTTTTTAGGTCCTTCAACGCCTGTTGGCATTCTGGAGTCCACACGAAGTCATTCTTCTTTTTTAAAAGAGAAAAGAAGTGGTGGCACTTCTCTGAGGACCTTGAGATGAACCTGCTTAGAGCCGCCAACCTATCAGTCAACCTTTGCACTTCTTTTACGCTTGTTAGCTGGTCCGGGATGTCCTCGATGGCTTTGATTTTTTCGGGGTTTACTTAAATCCCTCTTTGTGAGACGTGAATTCCCAAGAACTTTCTGGAGCCAACCCGGAAGGAACACTTCTCGAGGTTGAGTTTCATGTTGTACTTCCTTAGAATGGTGAAATTATCTTGGAGATATTTCAGATGATTAAAGACTTAACTAACATGTCATCGATATATACTTCCATCATTTTTCCTATCTTCTTTATAAAAATCTTATTAACGAGCCTCTGATAAGTGGCTCCGGCATTCATAAACCCAAAAGACATCACATTATAGCAACATGTGACAAAGTTTGTGATGAAAGAAGTTTTTTCTTCATCTTTTGGGTTCATCCTAATCTGATTATACCCGGAACAAGCGTCAAGAAAATTCATCAACTCGTGCCCGGCCATCGCCTCAATCATTTGATCAATATTTGACAATGGGAAAGAGTCTTTGGGGCACGCCTTATTCAAATCCTTATAGTTTACACACATCCTAAATTTGTTATTCTTTTTAGGTACTATAACTACGTTGGTTAACCATTCCGGATAATTTACCTCCCGAATTGAACTGATATTGAGTAGTCAGGTTACTCTTCTTTAACAAACATATTCCTGAGCTCCGCTATCGGGCAATTTTTTTGCCTTATCGGTGGGAAGTTCGGATCCAAGCTAAGTTTGTGGATCGCTACCTCCAATGGAATACCTGTCATATCCGAGCGCGACCATGCAAAGCAGTCAAAGTTAGCTTTAAGAAAGATTATAAATTCTAACCTGAGCTCGGGATTTAACCCAGTTCTCAGATGAAACTTTATTTCTAAAAATTCCTCGAATAAGGCCACCTTCTCAAGCTCCTCTGCGGTTGACTTGCTTGCATCCGTTTCTTCCGGTACCTGGAAGGACCTCGGTACCTGATAGGATTCCAATGATGCCCCGCCTTTTTCATTTTCAATCGGAAAGGGAGAAGGCACCGGTTCTTGTAATTGCTATTTGCTAGTTTTTTTTCTTTTGCTATTGGAAATGGTCACCGTGTTCATCCCCCTTGCCACCATTTGGTCTCCTTTTATATTTCTGATCCCTTCAGGTGTCAGAAACTTCAATAATTGATGATACGTTGAGGGCACAACCTTCATCTCGTGTATCCACGGCCTTTCGAGGATTACATTGTAGCATATATCACCATCTACCACTTCGAACAAAATGGTCTTTGTTACT